TTCTTTTCTATCTCTGCCTCTAATTAATTATATTACTTCTGAAACTAAATTAATCTCAGTGTGCCAATTTCATCTTAAAAGGGCAGATAAGGAAATACCTAAGATTTTATTCAAACTTTACAATCCCTTAAATGTAAACAAAATCATGAGGGTCTTTTTTTTTTTTTTTTTTTTTTCCTTAACAAAGTACACAATAATACTTGGAATATACAGAGAGTCAAAAACAATGGGTGATACTGACGGTGCTTTAGTTGTTCATCAGCTCTACACACCTCTGCCTAATATGAATCCAAACCAGTGTGGTGGGCGAGAGATTGCCTGCAACAGCTAACACCCTACCAACAGCTTCACAGTTTGTCTCCATAATCAATCCGTTTTGTCCTGCCACTCTTCCTTCAAGGTTATTTTTATTTACTGTCCACCCAACTGATATTACTTTAAAGCACACAGCTCAGAGGCAAACTGTAACAATCAGGGAACTAATACTCAGGAATAAGTACATACACATTAAGGGAAGAGTCAAAGACTGGGAGACACCTGTTAAAATTATTAATTAACATAAAAAGTGACACAAATGTGGTATAATACACACAAGAGAATAAAAGTAAATACAACTAAAAGCAAAACGTATTTCTGGAGCTCTAATTTTTAAAAAAGGCACGTAGAAGACTTCTGCAAATGGGCAGGAGATGCTTCTTAGGTTGGACAAGGAAGTCCATGGGTTTATGTCAAGGTTTATGCATCTATTATACTCTATATATCCTTCTGTACTTATGGGCTTTACCTCAAGTAACAGTGAACTTAAAGGTACTCCATTTTTCATGGAACTCTGTTTTATCCTAGTCTCCTGGTTCTCCATCCCCCTTCCCTGAGGCAGCCATTGTTGCCCATTTCTTTTGACCTTTCCAGAGACAGCCTGTACATGGACAACGGAGTAGATGAGCACACGTATGTGCAGAAGAGACAGAAAAAAACCAACTACCTTCATAACTGTGCTGCATTAAAATCAAGCACGTGCCTTGGGACCAAAGCATACCTAGGGCACTGTCCCAACGTTTTTCTCTATGACTGAAGTCCGCCCCACTATGGCAGAGGTAGAAACAGAGATGTGTACACTGTCTGGATACAGGCACAGGGCCTGCCTGGGCAGTGGCTTACTTACTAGCTGTCAAGCACTGAGCCTTCACATTCCTCCATTCTAAAAAACAGTCAGCGCTGCACCACGTGTATTCCCTTACACCTGGTTTCAAAAATTCTGTAATGTCCATCTCAGGTCATTCCTTTTCTAGTCATAAGGATCCAGATAGGTCTCTGTAGCAATGGTTACAACTCTAACTGTGGTTCAGGGAAATGCACATCCATCTAGCAATGTACATTATAGGCAGAACGAGGGTACACTGCACATTCTGAGATGAAAAACAATTCTCACTTTGCAACCCATGCTTGCCCCTGATTTGGACAGGATGGCAGTTAAGAGGATCCATTTTATTATTACTTTTTTTGCCAGTACTAGAGCTTGAAACCAGGGCCTCACACATGGCAGGCAAGCACTTTATCAAGTATCAAGAGCTACTAGAGGGTTTATTTTTAAGAAAAATATCTTAAAGACTTGTGTCTACACTTTAGGGGAACTATGCCAACCCAAATTTCATCGTTCTTTCAGAAATACTTACTGAACATCTACCATGAACAACATCAGATAGATAGATAGATAGATAGATAGACAGAGATAGGTATAGATATATAGATATAGATATTCCTTGGGATGCTAATAATCTATTTAGGAAGGCATGAAGAAATGAGAAATAGGACCAGTGAGATAGCTCAGCAGACTAAGTGCCTCTTAGGCAAGCGAGGGACCAGGGTTCAATCCCCGGCACCACATGCAGCACCAGCCCCACCTCTGGGTAGGCTGAACCAGCCAACGAGACCAAGTGTGGTGGTGCATGTCTGTAATTTCAGCACTGGGGAGGCTGAGACAGGAGGATTACTATGAGCCAGAGCTGTGTAGTGAGACTCTGTACCAAATGCAAACAGAAGGAAGAAAGGAAGGAAGGAGAGGAGAGAAGAGATGGAAGAGAGAAAAAGTATACAGTGAGGCGGTACTACAAGAACAAAAGGAGAGGGGAGGGGGAAAAAAAGAACAAAAGGAGAAAGGATGGCCCTACTGAGACAGGTTCATAGAAGGGCAGTATGTAATTGGATCCAAAGAATTGGTAAGAGACAGCCAGTATGAATGAAGAGGATGAAACTCTTTACAGACATAAAGAATATCTCATCAAAATTTCCAACTTTCAAATACTGAACTAAAACTATAAATAAGTATACGATATAGCCTAGTACTTTGCTGTCAGATCCAGTTTCCTAAAGTTTGAGACTGTTTAAAAAGCTTTCCATATTAAAAATCCTGTCTAGAGGGCTCAGCAGACTAAAGCACCTGCTTAGGCAGACACAGGGACCAGGGTTTGATCCCAGTGTACAGTGCTGGCCCCGCCCCTGGAGATGTGCTGAGATTGCGACTGAGGCTGGGTGTGGTGGTGCACACCTGTAATCCCAGTGCTTGGGAGGCTGAAAACAGGAGGATCACTGAGTCCGATCTGTGTAGTGAGGCCCTGTACACCCTGTACTAAATACATTTTTTAAAAAATCCTGTCTAAAGGAGTTTACTTTAAAAATATGAAACAGTTTACTTATGGAAGAGGTATATACTCCCTATAAGAAAATCCGTACTTCACCTATATAAGGTTTACTTGTCTTGTTTTTTTCAGAAAAATCACTGCTTTTAGCACACTGAGGTTTCACAGCAGATGCCTTTTCACTTCCCAAAGCCTTTTTGTTTTTCCTATCATTAATGACAATATGGCTACCATACTACCCTTACAATCAGGCTCAGATACCTTACAAAACCATAAATTAAAGTTTTCGAACATTTAGGAACAGGTAACAGAAAATCCAGTTTGCTACTGTAGATATTTCTTGTTTAATGACCTACCTGTTTAATGACTGTTCAGACTTACATCTGAGGTACAGGGTTTGGTTTTATGACCCACCATTTGGCCTAATAACCTTTTTCAGGGTATAGTTCTGTACATCTTGTTTATAGAGCTTCAATGTCTTTTTTTCCTACAGTACATCTTGTTTATACAGCACTGATAATTTTTGCTGATTGTACTTGCAGTACTATAATTTTATGTTATACATTACAGTACTACAGAGGTACACAAATATTATAAAAGTAAAGTCGTCAAGTAGGAGTTTCCTTTGACCACTTCTTTGTTCTGAGTATTTTAATGTGCACACTATACACAGTTCCTCATTCAGTGACTGATTCAAGATCTAGATGCAGGAACAGAATGAGGAAGGCCTGTATTCCTTCCTACAGTTTTTCTACTTTTAAGAACATAAACAGAACAAAGATAAACACATACTCTTCTTGGCAGACCTTTAGTTCTACCTGTATTCAAAACCCTGTCAATTCATCCATACCTGTCTTACCTACTACTGTCCTTTGAAAGTTTTATGAGGGAACTGGTCCAACAGATGGGTGACTAGTCCTGGCTAACATATGCCTGAGAAAGAGCAGTTCTTAGACTAAAGGCAAGAAAGTATTAAGCACATCCCTTTCCCTTTTAGGGCTGGGAACACAAACTACTTTAGGAAAAAAAAAAATCTTTTAACTTTCACTAGGAAGTTATTGGATTCAGATAATCTGTAAGTAACAAGGTGATCAAGCAGTGAAAGGTCAAATGATTTAAAAAAAAAAAAAAAAAAGAATCTACCCCTCAGGATGAAATATGCAGTTCCCCACACATACCAAAGATCTGGAATACATACGGGGAAAAAAAATCTGAGTCAGTTTAACCAGGAGCTATTTCATCTAAGACAGACGGGAAACATTCAGATAAGAATACTATCTTGTTTAGAACACAAAGCTCAACAGATCTGTGGGGAGAAAGGGAAAGGGAACCTAAGCTACACAGCATATATGAACAACAACAACAAAAACCAAAATGATTCATTATGCTCATGTTTGCAAAACCAGAAATAACAAAATCGTAGTGGTATCCTGCTGTCTGCCCCATCCCTGTCCGTAAGCTTAACCGACCAGCATCTGATGCTGCGTCTGACTGACGGCTATCTGAGTCTGACAACACACTACCTAAGTGCTCCCTAAGGAGAAGAAAGAGACCTATCGCGCCAGGCACGGCATTTGCCAGACCAAAGGAGTCTGGTTCTCCTTTGAGTGAGGCCTGTGGATGGGAAAGCGGTCCCCAAATACCATTTGTATGAATCTTTGAAGACATGCTCTGAAACAGGAAAGCAGTACAGATTACATCTTGGCAGAAGTCTAAATATAAAAAAACGGGAACATTGCCTATTTTTAGATATCTGACTTACAAGTTTTAAAACATTACAAGTAGGAAACCATTAAAAACTGCAATTTAAAATTTTTTGAGATATTTTTTAATTAGAAAACTATTTTCAGAGATAAAATTTTGGAAATCCTGCATTTTCCCATTGACTTATGTCTTTGCTCAAACTTCCCCATCTCCAAAATTTGGTCCCTAGCCTATGTGTTATCAAGTAAATTTTTACAAATGTCACAGAAAAGATGATATATACAGGTTTAATAGGAAAGTGAAAGAAAAGGTAAAGAAAAACTTAAAGATGCTTTCACAAAAGCACAAAAATAGAGTACAATGATTGAAGATAAATGTATAAAATGTCAAAAGCTATCTTTCACTAAAAACAACTACACAGACAACAGAATGGTATTCTTAGTGGACAATCTTAGGACCAGTAAACTGTATCTAAGTAACTACCACTTGCAATTAAAGAAAAATCTTTCCTTAAACATTAAAATCCTAAAAACACGGCAACATTTCTAGACAGTTTATGCTTTATTTTCTTCCCTACCCTGCCCATTCCTAGTACACATATACCCAACCTTTTAAAAGGAATATACAGCAAATGAGATTTATGGGAAATAAAGGGGTTACCTGACTGTACAGCCATCATTAACATCTCAGGTTCCAGCAGAGTCATGATAAAGTCTTCTCAGAAACAACAGCTGACAAATTCAATGAAGTCAAAGTCACAGAAAAAAGGTCTCTTCCAACCCAATGAAAAGCATTCATAAATTCAAGCCCATGCTGGTACTCAAACCAGACTGTGAGAACTTGCTCCTGTTCTCAGAGCAATCACCAACTGTCACCCTTCACAGAAGCCAGGATGGCAGAGTTGAGCTACTGCCGAAAGGAGACCAGCAACAGGAGACCAATGCGCTCGGTGAAGACAGAGGGACTGTGGTGAAAGCAGTTGAGTGAGCTCCTCCCTTCTATGCGTCTCTAGCAGAGGGAGAAACACAGAAAGAATTTCCGAAAACAGATCAACTGCTTACCACCCCCTCTTTTCATGAGGTTTGGTTCAAAACCATAATATGAGTCTATTGCTAATGCAGTTTAAGGGAACAGATTAAATGCAATCCAAACAACTCAATCTCATGAAACAAATGGTCTAATTACTGACCTATTAATGAGAGGTAGGAATAGGGATTAGACACATAAACATACATACAAATACACGAATGTGCAAGCTAAGTAATTGTTCTGAAAAGTAATTCCAACAGCCTTTTCATCTGTGATATTTATAGATAACAGGCTAAGGAAGTTGAATATTTAACTGCAGAAGCTCAACTATTTCTCCACCCCCACTCCAATTAAAATATCTGTTTCAAAAAGTCATCTGAATACATTCCATAGCTGTAATCTGTTGTTCGGATCTGCCAGGCTCCTAAAAGAGCCCCTAACTTGTGCCCTCACGAGACACGCGATCTGTGGATAGACAACCTCACTAATGTCGACTCAAACACTTCGTGATTGCACTGCATGTACGGAGCACATAGGAAGACAGTTTCAACGTATAAGAATTTTCCTTTTCCCGGGGCCACGGAGATGGCTCAGTGAAATAAGCGCTTCCCTGGCAAGCGCAAGGGCCTGAGTTCAATCCCCAGTTCTGCCAAAAAAAAAAAAAAAGAAAGAATTTTTCTTTTCCTGATAAACTTCAGTTTTTCTTCCACCAGCATAGAGGAGATCTGAATAAGAACAAACGTGCACTTTACTGTGTGTTAAGGGAAGTGGGGCTGAGGGGCTAACTTTTCAATTACACACAGAGCAATTTTTTATTTACTCAGAATTAAAAGTTTATTTCCCTTGTAATAATAGTTGATTCTATGATAATTTTATTAAGATGGCTTTTCATGTATTTGGTAGATTTTTAAACAGCTAAAAACTAGAAACCCAGGTTTGCCTTAATCTAAAATTCCTCAATCTTTTTGGTGAAGTAATAGCCCATATCTTCAAAGCCTACTGTTGCAACCTTAGCCCAGCAAATACCTTGAGGATTACATAGTCAAATAAGTGATAAATAAAAGCACTAGGAGACCTTTAAAAAAAAAACAGTCTCAGAATGAGTGAGGACAATATTCTTAGAAAAGAAAAAGCACTGCAGATGGGGGAACGGGGGGTCCTATGGAAGAGAAAATTTTCCTCTTTCTCACTCCAAGAACATCATGTTTAGGAGAAGAGCTCTATATAGAACTGTGGGAATGACTCAACAGGCATCGCAGTGGCAGCCAGTGTGGGCTGCAGGCTGCTCTGGGAGGCAGGAGCATTCTCACCAGCCCTTTCTGGCAGCTGAGCTCTCTGTCTTACAGAAAAATGGGTAAAATGGGTAAGTTTCAATCCAGACTGAATGGAGGCTGATGAGAACCTAGCAACTGACGGAGACACGTCCCTATTAGGTTGAGTCACTGCCCTGTCCCTCTGTGGGCTATACAAGTTGCCATGTGAGGGTTTTTCAAATGAAACAAGTTCTCACAGTTCTGTACTTAGAGGAAAATAAACACAAATTATAAGATTCCCGCACAGAGGACAGCAGGAAGGGCAGAGGGCCGTTTCCCTCTTGCCAAAGCCCCTCTCTATTAAGAAAAGCGCTTGCAATGCCGCAAGCGTCAATATTCGGCCCTGACAGAGATGCTGACGGCCACACAGCGCAGTAACGACACAGCACACGTCAGCTGATCTCACTTTTTCATAGCAGGTCCACATCCCTGTGCACTTTCGGATAAAAGAAACTAAAGAAAAATTATCTTTAAAACAAATCTAAAAGCAATCTTAAAAGGAAATAAAAAGCAACAATTCCGCCTATTGCTCAGAATTTATATTTACACTCAAGAGCATCGGCACAGCCAGAAATTCATCATGAAAACAGGTTGTAAAACAATTTTAACTCTAAAAGTCTGAACCCCTATGGTTCAGAATAGTGAAGGCTTCAGTTCCATTACCGTACAAATTGCTAACATTTCATAAAAACAGAACTAAAGCAAACTTTAACAAGCTTTTACACAACTGAACATGGTTTTCAAGCTATTAGCACCAAGGGAATGCAGGGTAATGACCCTAATTTGCAAAGAAATAAAAGCTCTGCTTCTAATAACTTTCTAGCTATTCAATACAAGCGTAGTATGATCTACAGTCTCCAATTTACTCTATAGGGACAGGACACTGCAGGGTATCAAGGGGACGGATTTAAAATTTTTTAACACTTATTAGCATACACTTTACAATACTTTAAACAGTAATAAAACTTTGTATATAGCTTTCTTGTTCCCCACCCTGCCAGACTGCCTAAAGGTTTTTAATGTTCACAATCCAGAGAACCCAGACATGTTTTTATACTAGTTGACCTTCCTACTGAATTTGTTTCCATACTCTCCTTAAAACCGCTAATTTTCTAGGACTTTATAAAAATCCTATTTTCCTACCTGCCAAAACCTTTCCTCTCAGAATCCTAAATAGCTCTTCTTTCCTTTCATCCCTTATTTCTTTTACATCTTTCCCCACGGTAATCCCGTCCTTTCTAAAGGTTTTGATTTAAGTATTGATCTATATCAAGCTCTAACATCACCTCCAAATTTCTGGAACTAAGCATCTCTACCTAGCTACCGTAAGCACACATGTTCAAGCCCCAAGTTGGTATCACTGCCTGGCCCCCACCCACTGAGTTACACTACTCCTACTTCCTATCTTAGGTAACAATACTAAAGTCCCAAATTATAAATTTAGATTCCCTTGCCTCTAGCCCAACGGTCTAACTGGCTACCCAATGTAACTAATTATACTATACTCCTCAAATCCATTCTTTTATTCTTGCATGGACTCCTGAAATAGATTTTTAAAAATTTACAGAAAAGTCTGCCCTCTGCAGGGGTCCACACCTATAATCCCAGCACTCAGGAGGCTGAAATAGGATCACCACAAATTCAAGGCCAGCCTGAGCTATATACTGAGCTAAAGGTCAGCTTCAACTACACAGAAAGACTTTGTCTTAAAAAAAAAAAAAAAAAAAAAAAAAAGAATGACATAATTAATTAATTGTGTACACACCACAAAGCTTCAGAATTCATTGCCACATGGCCAAACTAGTTTCGCCTGTCCTACCTTGTGCCCCACGACCACACACACAGAGAACCTAGACAACAATGCATCACACCAGAACGAATTCTGTGAGTCACCTCACCTTTACTTTATATTTAAAAAATACAAAACTTCTTTTTAAGGTTAACAATATGATGAACATACCTAAAATCTTAAATTTCCTAATATTAACTAATCAATATTCAAATTTTTCTAGAAGTCTCAAAAGTTTTTAGCATTTTTAAATCAAAACAGAGACAACACACTACATCTCATTGATGTTTTGTTTGGCTTTTGTAGTACTAGGGATTGAAAAATGGTCCTTCATGCCGAGCTACATCCTCAACACTTTTTTTATTTTGAGACAGGGCCTTAATAAGCTGCTAAGTTTCCCAGGCTGGACTTGAACTTGTGATGCCTTGCAAAGTGGTAGGATTACAGGTGTGTGCCATCATGCTGGCTCTCGTCAATGAGTCTCTTCACTGTCTTTAATCTTCGGATGTCTCTCAGGTGCGCATGCGCGTGTGTGTCTGGTCCTGTGAACTAACAACAGGCTTGCAGAGAACTCTGCACTGGATCCTCAGCCTTTTTTTAAAATTTTGAGACAGGGTCTTGCTAATCTGTCCAGGCTACGTTTAAACTTGCAAGTTTCTTGCCTCAGCCTCCCAGAGTGCTGGAATTTTAAGTATGTGCTACCATGTGTGACTTCTGTTTTCTTATAATTTGTTAAAGAAACCAAGATGTCTTCCTACATTTTGGATTTTGCAAGAAGTACACCTATGGTGTCATTTAATATAATGCTCCACCACCCAAATTTCCAGTAGACTAGAAGTGAGGTATTCAGGCTCAAGCCGTTCCAGGATAACATTTCCGGTAAGAATACTTTACATGATAACATGCACCTCAACAAAAGTTTAACTACACAATTTCTTTCTAGCCTTGCCCGTATTAAAACCATCAGTGTTACCAAGTGATTCTTATTCATCCTTTACAACTGTTTTTAGGCACTGCCTTCACTAAGACCTGATCCTGGCACTCTCCCCATCCTACTCACGCCCTCCATAAAGCTGCAAAACACCCCTCACCTGTGCCCCCAGCACCCGTGTGCACCTCTGTTATTACTCTATTCCTGACTTAATTCCTCATTCTCAGATCTACCACAGTGTCTGATTTCATGGAAAGAAAAGCACTAGTTATCACAGAAAATTCAAACATCCTGGGAAAGAGTCATACACAAGACAAACTACCCAGACTGGATAGACAGATACACTGCTATAATGCCCACTGGTATACAGGCTGCAGGAAAGCTACAGGACGTACTAGAATATAAAGCTTCCCTGGCAAGCGCAAGGGCCTGAGTTCAATCCCTGGTTCCACCAAAAAACACAAAACAAAACAAAACAAAAAAAAAAATGACATCAATCCCACACCCCCCAGGAACAATAAGTCCTAACTGGAATGAAGAGGAAAAATCAGAAAAACAGAACACTTACCTCCCCTCCAAAATAAACCAACCACAGAAACTTTCAATCCTACCAATCATGTCAATTTCTATGAGGGAATTAAAACAGAAAGGTATACACAAAAATAATGTAAGCCTTTTTATAATCTCTGTGGGATTTCAGGCCATGGATGTTTAGTCCTATTCCTGTGTCCACTTCTGATTTAAGTTCTCACAATTACATAGGTGAGTTTACTGAGGTTCAGCTCTTTAAAAATCTAAATATCATACTAAAATTCCATTGGCTCCAACTAGCTAAACTTTTCTCCAGATACCTGGTGTTAGGCAAAATGAAATACCTCAAAGAT